ACCAAACGTTCTCCTGAAATTACAGGAGAACATTTCTAGAGATCTAAAAAACCCTCCATTTATGTGGCGCTTTGCCAACAGGAGAGTAATTAGTGCTGCATGGTAAAAAGACCAACTGTGTTACACAATTCATCTGGGGCACAACCCATGTCACTGATTATAAATATGTGAATGTCAGAAGCTAATTACAGTTACTGAGGTCTTTCTCCCTTTTCTCTGTGGGAGTGATGATATTGAGGAAGGTGGCCAAGAGGAAAGGAGACTGTCAGCTATACATACAGCTCACATGTAGCTTCCCTAGTCTGTGAATAACTTTTAGATCTAACCATGATAGGGTATGTAATGCAACTTTAGAAAAGAGGATGACTGAAGGCACCCTGAAAAGGCTCTGTAACCCTTCCCACTACGGGGAGACTGACTGACTGACTATGTTCCTTGGACTCCAGCAAAATAAGTGAGTTAAGCTTTAATTAGGAAATAGCAATTAATTGTTCCTGGACATAATTATAATTTTACACTTATGATGGCAAGTATATTTTTTACTTTTTAGAAGAACGATATTATCCTGCCTTACCAGTATTCTGCTGTTTAGAAAGCAGGATGATATACAAAGATAATTTCTATATTGTATGCTCCTCCACTGCAGCTTCTTTCCAGCCTGTGAGATGTTTTGTTTGTAACCAAATATATGGAGGATGCCACTAGGGCTGTGTATCCTGCTGCTTTGAGCAAGTGTGCTCACTCACCTGTTTTATTGCAACTCCACAGGAGAAAGCCAAGTTGTGCAAATGACAATGGCGTACCCCATGTAAGTACAGGATGAGAAACATTTTATTTATAACCCTATCATATTTGGGCTACCCTAATAAAAAATAAGCTTAAAAGTAATCCCCTGACTTGTTTGTCTAGAATTCTTGGATTCAAGTTTCTTGAAGTGCAGTGCATAAACCAGAGGTTTGTATTTTGCTTTTAGACAATCAGAGAGCACCATGGAGAAATCGTGAAGGTCAGTTGCACTGTGGACAACTCCACATCTGTGTCTTTTAAATTACACTTGTGTCTCTTCCTTGTTGCCACTTTTGGTCTGTCTCCATTTTTCTCAGATGGGTCTGGACTGGTTGCCAGAGGGCCAGAGAGAATCATTATGTTGACTCCTGACGCCTGTAATTGTGGCATTTATTTCCAGCTAGGGAGCACAATAGTGAGGACTGACACAAAGGCCAAAGTATGACAAGGGCACTTAGTGCAACAACTATGGTACTGGAAGCTTTACAGACAACTTTAAAAGCTTCTATTCTGATATCTCAAAGGGACCAAACAACCAGGGATCTGATTTTCAAATAGCCAGTTCTTTACCACAGTCCTTGAAGGATATTATATTTCTGTGCATGTTAGAAAGTTCTTACTACTGAAAAAACCTATAAATAAATCTGGTTGCGAATAATCAAATTCTTGGTCTGTCTTCTCAAGCTGAAGCCAAACATACACATTAACACCAATGGCCAATTCTTGCTGTTTCACCACAAGCCTGATATAGTTTCATGTACCTGTACCATTGGAAAATCATCATGTGAGGTCATCAACTTTTCCTTCACAGAAAGTTTCTAGTCCTGACAGTTTCTTTCTTCAGTGCAAACAAGGCTCTAAAATAAGACAAAAGTGAATCTAACAGCTGGACTCTTTGCTGTACCTATACCATTTACTATAAAATAATAGTTTTTATATCTTGCTTTCTCCCGCAGTAAAGCCCACTGAAAACAAGTCACAGCTGGATTAATGAGAAAGCAAAGCTGGGATGCAGAGTTACAGGAAAAAACCTAGCTTGTCAGTTTACAATGGGGGTTTACAATGGCTTTCACACAGCTTGATATGGTAGAAACTCATAAAGGGTGGGCAAAAATAGTTATTACATTTTCTAGTTTAAACTGTGTATGTTTATATAGTCTTGCTTTGTAAAAGGTGAAGAACGATTACTTTTTTATCAAAGTATAGTATGGGCTTCAGGCTAGTAATCTTAAAATTACATTATATATCTTATAGTATTTCTGATGTGTTCTGACAGTTCTCCATCTTGCATTCATGACAAAACCCTTGCAGAGATGGTTTTCAGTAACCACCATAGTATAACTCATGCTTATAGCAACTGGACATAAGGGGTGGCAGGTAAACATAGTATGTAATGCTGTCATTACTGCAGCAGGTTGCAATGGTTTTTTTTTTTTTTTTTTTTTTTTTTTTTTTTTTACTGGGTTATAAATCGATTAGGTTGGTTTGAAAATGTATTCTGAAACAAAAGTTTTGGCAAGTGTAATGCTAAGAATTGGGAAGAGTTCTAAGACAAAAGGTGTTATTGACTCTACTGCTTTCAAGAAAATAACATGAAAAACAATGGGAGTCAAATGCTTCCATTATTTCCAGATGGACTTCAATGATGTCAGTAACTGTAGGTAAAAATAAAAGTTTATCAAAGTTACTTCATGGTGATGATATCAAGTACCACAGCAATTTCTCATACTTACCATAGGGAGCCACTGACAGCAGGGAGCCCCTAACATGGACTACCATCACTTTTGACTATGTGTAAAATTGTGGGCTTGTTAGTCTTGACCAGCATACATTGTGGGATGAAAGAAAGCAGACACATTTACAACTCTGATGAAACTAATGGATATGAAATAATTTCATCAATCTCAACTGATGTTCGAAATTTTGTAAAAATCCTTTTGGCTTGCACAGGACAAGTCAATTGTATTGTATATAGTGCAGAAATTCCAGAATGCCTTGCTGTTTAACACAGGCTTAAGGGTTAAGATTTAAGGGCTGATAACAACATCAGTGTATGCTTCATGCAGGGATAACTCACTAGTGAACTAAAAAACTCAATACACACAATAGGTAACTGCAGTAAAATTCATTAGTTGGTGTTTAAGAAAGTGTTGTTTTCAGTGTAAGTGTTGTTGTAAGAAACTCAAGCTTGAAATGTTTTGGTTGGTGCTGCTTGACAGATCAGCATGACTGAGTCTGATTATTAATACACAGTTAGGCTTACTGCCATGTTGCACTAAGGAAGAAACTCAGGTGGGAAATTTGGTCATGAACTGAGCTTTTGAGTTTCTGTAAATCTACATGAATTTGATTCCCAGAAGATTTAGGAGGCAAGAGGAGCCTAAGAAAGCCAGTTAATATTCAAGGATCACCTCCTCTAAGCTCAGGATTGATGCATCCTGACAAAGAGGAAGTCAGGCAAAAATGCCAGGAGGCCTGCATGGATGAACAAGGAGCTCCTGGACAAATGCAAACACAAAAAGGAAGCCTATAGAGGGTCGAAGCAAGGACAGGTAGCCTGGGAGGAATACAGAGAAACTGTCTGAGCAGCCAGGGATCACGTTAGCAAAGCTAAAGCCCTGACAAAAGCAAATCTGGCCAGGGACAGCAAGGATAGCAAAAAAAGCTTCTATAGGTGTACTGCTGATAAAAGGAAGACTAGGTGAAATGTGGGCCCTCTCCAGAAGGGAACGGAAGACCTGGCTACATAGGCTATGGAGAAGGCTGAGGTCCTCAATGACTTTTTTGCCTCAGTCTTTACTGGCAAGTGCTCCAGCCACCATCCAAGATGCAGAAGGCACTATAGGCCAGTCTCTCTTCTGTGCCTGGTGAGATGATGGAGCGGATACTCCTGGAAACTATGCTAGAGCACATGGGAAATAAGGAGGTGATTGGTGACAGCCAACGTGGCTTCACTAAGGGCAAATGGTGCCTGACAAATTCGGTGGCCTTCTATGATGTGATTACAGAGCTGGTGGATGAGGAAGAACTGTCACCTACATGGACTCATGCAAATTATTTGAGACTGTCCCATGCAACATGCTTGTCTCTAAATTGGAGAGACATGAAGAATGGACCAGTCAGTGGATAAGGAATTGACTGGATCATCACACTCAAAGAGTTGTGGTCAATGTTTTGATGTCCAAGTAGAGAGCAGTGATGAGTGGCGTTCCTCAGAGATCAGTACTGGGGCCCGTGCTGGTTAATGTCTTTGTGGGCAACACAGAGAGTGGGATTGAGTGCACCCTCAGCAAGTTCACCGATGGCACCAAGCTGTGTGGTGCAGTTGACACACTGGAGGGAAGGGATGTGCCATCCAGAGGGACCTGGACAGGCTGGAGAGGTGGGCCTGTAGAAACCTCATGAAGTTCGACAAGGCCAAGGGCAAGGTCATGCACATGGGTTAAGGAAATCTCGAGCACAAACACAGGTTTGGCGATGAGTGAATTGAGAGGAGCCCTGCAGAGGACTTGGGGTTATTAGTAGATGGAAAACTGACTGAGTCAGCAATGTGTCCTCACAGTCCAGAAAGCCAGTGGTATCCTGGGCTGCATCAAGAGAAGTGTGGCCACCAGGTAAAGGGAGGGGATTCTTCCCCTCTATTCCACTCTTGTGAAGTCCCACTTGGAATACTGTGTCCAGCCCTGGGGCCTCCAGTTTAAGGACAGGAACATGGTCAAGCAGATCCAGAAGAGGACCATGAAGATGATCAGAGGGCTGAAGCACCTTCCTTATGAGGACAGGATGAGAGAGTTAGGGTTGTTTAGTCTGGAGAAGAGAAGGCTCTGGGGACACCTTACAGTGGCCTTTCGGTACCTAAATGGGGCCTACAGGAAGGCTGGAGAGGAACTTTTTACAACGGCATGTAGTTACAGGGCAACTGCTTTAAACTGAAAGAGGGTAGATTTAGATTAGATATAAGGAAGAAGCTCTTCATGGTGAGGGTGATGGGCACTGGTAGGTTGCCCAGAGGTTGTGGCTGCCCCCTCCCTCGCAGTGTTTAAGGCCAGGCTGGACAGGGCTTGGATCAACCTGGTCTAGTGGAAGGTGTCCCTGACCATGGCAGGAGGGGTGGAACTAGATGATCTTTAAGGTCCCTTCCAACCCAAACCATTCTATAATGCTATGATCTATGAAAGCATCTAGAATGAAAACAGTGAGTTTGTCTACACGTGAAATACCACTTTCTTTATTGCAGTGCTAGTGGGAAATCCAAGCAAAAAAAGACAAAGAACTCCCCATCCAAACCTAAAATCTTGGAAGACTCAGTTTTTGGGTGTGCAGAAGTATTATCCAGCATTAAGCTGTTTATTATGAGCCATTACTTTCCTATGTCAAAAATATTTGCCATAAATGATGGCTCTACTACATTTCAATGGCTTCACTTTAAATCCTGTATCTGTCATTATGAAAGATCTTAATTGAGGCCCTGAAAGGCTACTTTCTGCAACATTACCAAAAAAGCTGCAAGATACAATCCAGAACACCAAACAGTTCCTGTGCAGACTTGCTACACCAGTATCATCCAGTACTCAGTGAGATGAGGCAGCAACTTTAATTAATTACTGGCTATCTGTTGTCTTCTATGACAATTGTTCTTCTAGGATACGTGTCAACATCCACGAATATGTAGCGGAACTCAAATTTTCCTCTCTCAGGATTCTGTAAGGAAAACAATTTCAAGCTGTTTTTTTCTCTTCGGTAGTTTAAAATCAAGATTAAGCTTGTCAGCTCTATCAAGCAATTGTACATACCTCTTTGACTTCCACATGGACTGTTCCCCGTTTCCCTGGTTCAGAGCCTTCAATATAGAACTTCAAACGCATATGTTTCAGTCCATCCTTTATGTATTCAATGTGACTAAAAACAGCAAAATGAAACAAAAACCCAAACCACCCAGCAAGAATACATATTATATTTGAGTTAAACTTCAAATTTAAACTTTTTTAAAGGAGCTGCTCAACTATTTTGGGAGAAGGTGTATTCCAGTGCAACCCTTGTGCTACCATGGGTTCCTTCTCTACCACTCTTCCCAAGCTTTACTATGAGTTTCTAAATTCCAGTGGAGTTAAAAGAACTAATCAGCAGTTAAGGATTAACATATGAATTGCTTAAACGTCCTCACCCCAGTCCTTCCCTCAAAACTCAACAGCAATCCAAGGCTGAAGATTCTGAAAATTCCTTGCATTTATTCTAAAGAATCCCCAGATTCAGAGCCTGATATTTAGAAAGGAACACTCACATCACACAGACTGCCAGGGGTTTTTTTAGGCACTTAAACTAGTTACCAAGCCAAAACACAAAAAGGATGTTTTGTCAGCTTAATTATCAGGTTGCTTAAATCACATCAAACCAAAGTTTACTATATGCTTTACTTATTTTAGCAATACTTTTGTTCTACTGAAGTTGTGTAACTTTGGCACTGATCAGATCTCCAACCTAAATGATGATATTTGGACTGGAATTAGGTTACACTCAAGTATTAGGTAAACAGAAAGGTCATGTCACTTTCAAGGCAAACACTTCCAGAAACTAATGGTCAAACTAGAGTTCTGGTGCCAGGTTATGTTTCCTACTGAAATTACTAACTGCTGCAGACTACCAAACTCTTATTTCCATCAGTCATGCCCAGATACACACTGTGAATTAAATTTCCAATAAACACAATTTTAGGTGACATGATGGGTTACAGAGAAAAGATGAATGAAGAGCCTTAGTACAGTATATTCACATTCAATGTGTTCATCCACAAAAAAAAATATCTGTAGGTTTTTGAGACATTTAAGGTCATCCTTATACTGCAGACACACTCTACAATGTTACAAAGTCTTATTTAAAATACTAGACTTTCAAAATGATGGAAATGAAATACTAGGAATGTTGATAGTACATTTACTTATTTATAGTTTGTTTTACAGACAGATGCTTAAAATGTTTATGCATATACTTTTCATTTAGCAGCTCCACTTTAAACACTTTTTCACAGAGTCTGCTGAATAAACTTCCACCAGTAAAAGTCACATTCCTCTGGAAATTCTCAATTTCATGGCTCAAGTTGTGTATCTGGTTTATGCATCCCATCATGTATGAAACCTTCTTGACTAAATTTATGTCAAAGAACCCAATAAAGACAAAGCCCCTATTGGGTTACAGTGCAGGGAGGATTTACGTTTTGTAAGAATTAGTTCTGTTCCTTCCTTCAAAAGGAGAATAATAAACACACTCATGAAAGGTTTAGGTGAGAGATGTTCTGTTACGTACACAGTATAGATGTGGCAGCAAGTATGAAAAAGCAATATAACAAATGGGCAGTCAATACTGCTCATCAACTCAGGACAATATAGTCACTGCAGTGACTACAACCTGTACAGTCAGAACCAGTCTAGCTTTAAACAGAGCAATGTGGATTCCTGAAAGTCTGAAAGTTAGTACCTCCAGCTCCTTCTGGTCTGATAAAAACTACTGCTTCAAAAGAAGATAATCTCTCAACAATTTTTCAAAGAACAATTTCTCTCTATTTGAGGGTTTCAGACTGTAAACTTCAGTCAGATCCCTGCTCCCCAGACGCATGCCTAGGCCTCTGTACTACTCTCTTCAGACTCCCCCTAACTTTTGGAGACGAGCTCTATGTTTACCATGCTGACCACTGCTTCTTTTGAGGCACTCAGAATTGGCATTTTATAGTGTATATGCACTGTATTTAGTGGTATGTGCCACACAAGAGGTACTGCAAAAAAAATGCTTTCATTTGTACTCAAAAGTAACAGGGTATGTCACATACAGTTCATTAATCTAGACCTAACTTGCTATGATGTGACCCAAATGTCTTCGCTGTACAAAAACTAGTGTCTGTATGGAGCAAACACTAAAGGGCACCTGACAAGCTGTCGTCTTCCTCTTCTTGTTGCCTCCCCATAACCTTTAATAGATTCACCAAAAACACCAATTATCTACAAGAGAAAAGAGGTTTGAGTTGTCAGAAAGTATCACATTCAAACAGATATTCCAGTATCAGCTGACACCCCTGATGTGAATGCATTTTCTTTCAGCAAAACGCCCCTTGTGAGTCTGATGTCTCAAGAATTTATGAAGTGTAAGGAAAATTCTTCTGTATTTCAGTGCTTTTCTTTACAGTCACATATTAAATGTTTCAAATAACTCCTACTAATAACTTCCATTTGTACTGTCCTCTGAGATTATGACATTTTAATCCCCCTTCTTGCTCTGTATTTTACACTTTAATGACATTTTGTGTAAGAAGCATGAAATATTTGTTCGTCTCCTACAAGAGAGTATTTTGGTTTAAAATGCAAATACACTCCCCTTCACATTACCTAAAATCCACTACTGTTTTAAGAAATTGACTTTCCCCCCCCCCGATCTATAAAGCCAGACCAAGCTAACCTAGTTTTAAACTTAAAGTTGGTTAGAAAGGGAGGGTGATTTTTATCCTCAGTGGTATCTGTGGCAGCCTTGTTTGAAAGCTATTCCATGCATTTCTTTCCTAAAGTAGTGGTTTTCAGAATCTAGTTTTAGATTGTTTTGTTTAAATCTAGCTACCTTATGTGACTGTGTGATCACATGATTGTTCTCTGTCTCTTTTCCTGTTAGCCACAGGAATGCTAGCCGTGTTTCAAGTGAAGAATTTAAATTCCTGGATACTTACACAGTGCTTTGCAGAATGACAGAACTCTAGTGGTGACAACAGAATAACTGTGCTGAGGAAAGGCAGCAGGCTAGATCTGCAAAACTTACATGGGACCAGCTACCTCCACGACCTGTAGAACTCCTGAGTACTACATTTAGTAGGCACTCAGGTATGTCTATAAGACTTTCTGTATGGGGACACAAGCACGTGCTCTGAACGGGCAGACACTATATCTGCATCAGTTGTGCTGTGGTACACTCACTGAACTTTGGCTTTTAGCAGGCTCGTTCACTCGGGCTCAGTGCCTGCATGAACTTGTGCTAATGTAGGCTCCAACCTGGAGCTGACCCACCTCTGGCCAGCTAAAAGCACAGGCATATCTGCTGGTGTTTGTCTGCTAAGCACCAGGTGGATCTTCCTACAGCTCTGCATGTGAGATTTCTTGTGCAAATTTTTGACTCAAAGATAGACAGGAACTACTGAGAAACATAAACTTATGACTAAGGTTCAAAAACCAACCTCAGGGTGAGATCTGCATTTCTCCAAGGCATCTCCATAGATCTTACTTGGACTAGAAGAAGAGAATAGCTCTTTAAAAATCACATAGAACAAACCACCTGTAACAGAAACAACAACAAATGGAATGAAAACTAATCAAATCAGATGGAATTAATGAAAAGCTTCTTCCAATAAAGATTATAATTTTTAAAAATAACCTGTAACACCAATTCCAGCAAGCACCACAATAAAATAGGTAAAGTCTCTTCCCGCTTCTTTCACTGAAATAGAGAAAAACAACACAGGAGTTAAAATCTTGGATAGTAAGACCTTCTTATATAAATGCTCTTGTATCAGCCTGCAGCTCAACATTTTGGGAGAAGAAAAAATACCAGTATTCCAGTAACAGCTTCCATAATGCCTCATCACTAAAAGAAACTGAGACCCTGGACCACCTCTGATACTGTACAAAGCATGTTTATACCTCTTTATTAAGACCGAGAACAGCTCTTATTGCCACTTTTTGTGTATGAGAGCTATT